CAGCTAATTGAGAGCTCTTCAATCAACTAGAATATAAACGTAGTTGAACAAATAGAGAAAAGCTATGGCTCAATTATATAAAAACATAACAAGAATTTATCCTACAAAAGGTTCTATCAAAACTCTAGATAACAAATTAGCTATTCATAATAGCATGTAAAACTACAATACTAAAAGTCATAACCAACAATGAAAAATAGGAAGAGGAAGGAAAAACTTGTAGAAGAATTCTCCGCCTTGCTCCCAATGTGTTCTTGCCTCCAAGGGTGTTGTCTAACCCTAAAGTAGTGTCTCTCCGCCTCCTTAGGTCTAATTTGTGTCCAAAATATGTCCTCTTCTTGTTCTAGGCCGGCCTCCTTTGTTTTATATAGGGTTTAGGACTTAAAATCCCATGTTTTACACTTTAGCCCCTGAAATTTACGCTTCCCACCGCGTTTTCACCGCGATCGCGGTGGAACCGCGGCCAAACGCCATCGCGGATTCTTCATTCTTCAGAAACTGCCTTCCACCGCGGTTCTGCCGCGGTTCTGCCGCGGTCGCGGCAAAACCGCGATTTTTCACCCTGTTCCGTTTGGAATTTGGAAACACGTAAAACATAAAAGTTGTAGCCCTTTGAGTTAGCTTTCCAACCATATATTGTGGAGCCCAAATGGAGTTCTGAGCAAAAAGTTATGTCTATTTTACTAGACAGTGCGCAATATGCCTCCTCAAGCCTTCGTTCGTACTTAATTATCAAATTTGACCCCCGAACACGATCCCGGCTTAATTCCTTGAGCTTTTACTCAGACTTCAAAGCTTCAAATCACTTAAATTCATTCCATAACATCTATATAGCTCGGAATCACACCTACAAGGCATAAAACACACAATTAGTGCAAAACACTAGCGATTAAAGCGCAAACTCAATTAAAGTGCAGTAAATTCGAGTGTAATAAGCGACTAAAATATGCAATTATAGCCTATCATCAAAGAGGAACAAATAATTGGAATTGACTAGCCTATGTATCTTTGGAATATAAAAATTAGAAATTAAATATTATTGCATTGTTTAGCCTACTTACTGTATTGTTGATCATCACTTCTTCGAAATCCTCGGCGAGCCATAGTCTGCTGCGTTCTCCCGAATTCTATTGCAAGTTCACTATATATTTACCCATATCTTGAATTAGGTCATGCATTTGAATCTCATCATATTCAGAGATGGACACAAGAGATTTTTCAATTAAAATACGCAATTCGTATTCTGCTCCAATATGACAACTCTCAAGAACTTGCATGGCGTAATCTTTTTTTCTCCTCGCAAGATGCATGCAATATCTAGAAACATCTCTTGTTGGATGGGCTCCAATCCATCATAACTGATCTTGAGCTTTTCAACAATTTCCGAATTTGAATTAATTTTCATGTGCTCTATCGCACTTTTCCATTCAGTTAAGCCTAGGTTATGCAGCAAAAAACCCCACACTTTGAGGGCTAAAGGAAGGCCTTTAGCATAATTTACAACCTCCAATGAAAGCTCCTTAAAATGCTCATCTGGAAATTCTTTTCCAAAAGCATACTGATTGAACAATTGCATGGATTCATAATCAGGTAGTGCAGTCACTTCATATATTACACTACATTTCCCTATCAAATGCTTGTCTCTAGTTGTTACAACAACCCTACTGCCATTACCAAACCAACCAATATCACCTGCTAAATACTCTAAATGATCTTTATGATTTATATCATCAAGCACAATTAACACCTTCTTAGAGAAAAGTCTGTTCGGAATCATCCACTTCCCGTCATGCTTATTAGTGACGTAATCATTTTTTCTTCTTAACAATTCAGAGAGAAGGGTGTTTTGCAAAAAATGCAATTTTTCATTTTCTTTAATATCCGCAAGGAAACAAGAAGCTTCAAATTGATGAGATAAATTGTCAAAAATGGCTCTTGCTATTGTCGTCTTCCCTACACCGCCCATGCCCCAGATCCCCAATATGATCCGAACATTATTGATTCCTACCTTAAGTAGGGACTTTAATTTCTCCAGATGAGTATCTGTTCCGACAATATCTCGCAAAGAAGACAAAGTAGCACGATTGCACAATTTGGAAATTTGGTCGACAATCTACTGAATATTCTCCGCTTCAATCCTACGAAAATAAAAAAATCAATTGTGGATAAATGTAAGAAAGTCAAGTATTAATACGCATTTCATAATTAATTTTTTTGTTTACATAGGGGTAGGGGAAAGGGAGAGAAACTAAATATTGAACTGAGCTACTAAATATTGAGCTACTAGAGTCAAGGAATCGAACTCTCGTCAACTAGGCAAATAGCCAACAAACTGAGGTTAATATGTTTTTTATTTATTCTCTCTAATTATATTGATAGGAACAATACCTTGTTATTAATAGAGACATATATAACAACCATCATTCCTTTTTTTCAGGAAAATAAAAATAAAAACATTTTTAACGTCTAAATGACAATCAATGAAATTAGATTGTGTAAGCAGTATTCTTAACAAAATAAATTGATTAAGCCTCCACCTTTTAATTTTTATTTTGTAAATATGATAAATTTATTTAGTGTCTTTTCTGTTTAACTCCTTTTTTGAGGTGCAGATTCTTTTTCTATAGTAAAATATGTACTCTTCACATAAGCAACCACAGTTGAAAGAAAATTATTCCTTTTGAGCTCCTCACTTTGCTCCTATAGTAACTTGAACCCGCAACCTAAATTATTCCTTAGTACTTGAGCAAACCTCTCTTTGTAATATTCCATTTTTTTCATTGTAAGAAATTACTATGTGTTCTTAACTCACCCGTCACGGACATCATATCCTTTTAGATTTGCGGCAGCAGTTAGAGCATTCCTCCATCTTTGGACCTTCTGCATTCCTTCATCATCATCCTTATATCTTGTTTCTGTGTTTGTCAAAGGCTTCGCCAAAGCTCTCCCTCTGGTTTCGAACATGTGCGAGTTCCACATCATAGAAGACTGATGTGACAGTCTTGTTAGGTGTTTGCCATAATTTTCTTTCCAGATTTGGTTTTCCTATCTCTTGAAGGAAAGCAACATAATTACCTTAATTGGGTTTTCTTTTTTGTAAAAGGAAATTATAAATTCTTCCATATTTGGCTAGTCTCTTTTCTTGTAGGAAAAGGTTTGGAATTCTATAAATTGAGGATCCCTCCTTCTCATTCAGTAGCATCCACAATGTAGCCATAGGGGGCTTGAGAGTCTTGTTTAGGGGGAGAACTTTACGGGACAAGTGTTAGTGTGTCACTTGTGTTTGCCTCTTCGTGAGGTTGTTCTCTCGATATTTTGTACTCTCTTTATTATAGTGGATTGCTCATCTCCGTCGTGGACGTAGGTCAGTTGACCGAACCACGTTAAATGTTTGTGTCTCTTTTGGTAGATTTCTCTTTTGTTATTCGATTTATCGTCGCTCAAGGTTTGCTTTGCTAGCTTCCGCATGACACCTGATTATTTCGGTCCTAACAAGTCTGTCCACATTGATCCTTGCATTCCATGATCTTTACTAACTCATCTAAGCACCACCTCGATGTTGCATAATTCTTTGAGAAAACGACGACCGCAACTTGAGACTGTTCGATAGCTTTCAAGAGTTCATCTGATATTGATGAACCATGCTCTAGCCTTTTATCATCTTGAAACGTAAATATTCCACTGTTTTCCAAGCATTTGAAGAGGTGACCTGTAAAGGTTCTTCGAGTATCTTCACCTCTAAAACTTAGAAAGACATCGTAATTCCACCGTGGAAACTGTGAAGTACTTGTAGAAGTAGAAGATGATGAACTTAGAAAGACTTCGTGTGGAAACTGTGAAGTACTTGTAGAAGCAAAAGATGATGCCATTGATTCAGTTAATTATCTGAAAAGAAAATAACTTGTATGTGGATAAGTTGTAGTTGTGGTAAGAGATCAACTAATAATAATAGGAGAGAAAGAAATAAACTAGCTACTGGCACTTCAAATAAGAAATAGCTATGGCTCTACTCTATAGAATTATTGATACTGGGTTTTCTTTCAACTTTAATAGAAGGAAGGTGGAAACTCCTACAAAGATCACTGTATAGTACACAATGGTCAGCTAAAAGTACAAGTGGGTGCATTGAATTGAATTATTGCTCTAAAGCACAAACACAAACGTTCCTCTCTCTCTTTTTGCCAAAGAAGAAGGACCCCATTGATTGAATTTCTTTTTCTATTTTAATTTTCTACGGAGATTGACAAAGTCATTGTCCACCAAAATATTTAACTTCTCAGTTTTTTTGGGTAATGAACACAAAATGAAATGACTTTTGGATAATGAATACGAAATTGAATGACTTTTACGTAACAAAAAAAATAACTTTTAGGTAGTGAACACAAAATTAAATGACCACCTATATAAAAATTTAATCGCAGATTTATTCCCAATTTATTAAGGTTAAGAAAATTATAATAAAGTTTCGACAAAACTGTACAATATATTGTGGAACATATCATTCTGAAAAAAAAAAAAAAAGGAATTGTCCTATTGATTCAACCTTTAACCCTGTAGGTTTGTAAAAGAAAATGCGTGACAAGTCATAGACACGTCCCAAAAAAAAAAAAGACTTCTATTGTCAACTAAGGGTGTGTTTGGTATGAGGGAAAATATTTTTTATGTAAAATATTTTCCTAGAAAATGTTTTCATGAAAAATGAGTGGTTTTATCACTTATTTTCCTTTGTTTGGTTGGTGAGTGGAAAATATTTTCCGGACAATATTTTCTATTGTTTGATTAGAGAGTAGATAATATATTTTTTTTAGCAAAATATTTTTTATGCAACTGAAATTTGAAAAAGAAACTATAAAACAATAAGAAGGTTACAAAAGTTCTCCAAATTGGCTACACAACAAGTGCCAAACACGGAGCAACAACAAATCAATTGAAGAAAGAGGAGAATCCACAAAAATGAAGCTGTTGTTCGAGGCTCGAAATCAGATGCTACGAGCCTCCAAATCCCATCTCCACCATTCAGATCAAAGACCAAGATGTCACGAACACTTTAAAAATTTCAGCCCGATCCAACGGTTAACGAATCGGAAAACGCGATTTGAAGTTGGCTGGTCGGAATAAAAATCTGCAGCAACACAAATACTTTTCTACTCTATTCTCTCTTGATGAAAGCTCTCTCAAAAACTACTCTTATGTGCTTAAGTCTTTCAAATACTTGTATCAATGAGCATAGAACAATTCTCCAAGGTTGTCCTATTTATAGATCATGAGTGGTGCTTTCTCTTAAAGCCAAAACCCACTCAAAATAGGAATAAACACCGAATCCAATTTCGAATAGAATTTGAAACCAAAAGAGAATAGGATTAGGCCATTGGGCCTTTGTCTGGACAATATGGGCATGTGCCCAATAAACTCCCCCTCCAGCCAAGGGGCCAAATGTGTCTTCAAGTAGAGGAACTATTGACAGGCTTTGCCTGCCAATTTTCTGCAAAACGCATGCTTTATCTGCAAGCTTAACGACGAAGTCCTCAGGCTGCTCTATGTAAATCTCCTCATTTAAATCACCATGAAGAAAAGCAGTCTTGACATCCATCTGCTCAACCTCTAAATCAAGACTTGCGGCTAATCCTAAAACCACACGAATAGAAGACATCTTCACAATATGGGAGAAAATTTCATCAAAGTCAACTCCCTTCTTCTGGCCAAAATCTTTAACAACTAACATCGCCTTGTATCTAGGCGCAGAGGTATGGTTATCTTGCTTTATTCTGAATATCCATTTGTTAGATAAAGCTCTATTACCTTTCGGTAATTTCACTAACTCCTATGTGCCATTCTCATGGAGTAACTTCATCTCATCTTCCATGGCTTCGATCCGCTAATCTTTGTGAGTATATTGCATGGCTTCATCATAATTCTCAGGTTCTCCCATGTCAGTCAAAAGTACATACTCATCAGGAGGATAGCACATGAATTTTTGCTTCTCCCTTGTATATCTTCTAAGAGAGGTTTCAGGAGCATTCGAAGTAATTACCTGAGCAGGAATTAGTTGCTGATCAACCACAACTTCATCAACTGGAGCATCCATAACATCTACATCATGATGATCATTTTGATCTTGATCACTATCTCCATCATCGTCTTGGGTTCCTTCATGTGCAATAGGTGCCTTAGCAATTGAAACTGGATCAATATCAACTAAGCTTTCATTACTCTGAGAATCTATCTTCTCAGATTTGTCAATATCTTCAATAGTTTGGTCTTCAAAGAATATTGCATCACGACTTCTAATAAGTTTATTGTCAACTAAATCATAAAAACGATACCCAAAATCATCTTGACCATAACCGATAAAGATGCACTGCTTAGGTTTGACATCCAGTTTCGATCTCTCATCTTTAGGAACATGCACACAAGCTTTATACCCAAAAACTCTCAGGTGATCATAAGAAACATCTTTGGCAAACCAAACTCTGTCTAGGACATCACCATCCAAAGCAACAGCCGGAGACAAATTGATAACATAGGCAACAATGTTAAGTGATTCCGCCCAAAATGTATATGGAAATTTAGCCTCTGAAAGTAAGCATCTAACTCTCTCAACTAGAGTTCTATTCATCCTCTCTGCCAAACCATTCAATTGAGGCGTCTTGGGCGGAGTTTTCTGATGACGAATTCCTTGTTCCTTACAATAGTTATCAAAGGGACCAGAATATTTACCACCATTGTCAGTGCGAATACATTTTAATTTTTTCCCCGTCTGTCTCTCAACAAAGGCGTGAAATTCCTTAAACACACCAAGTGCTTGATCTTTAGATTTCAAAGGATACACCCAGAGCTTACGAGAATGATCATCAATGAAGGTCACAAAGTAAAGTACACCACCTTTTGACTTTACTTTAAAAGGACCACACAAATCAAAGTGTACTAGCTCCAATAATCAGGCTTTCTTGAGGGAGGATGGCTATGAAAGGAAACCCTTTTCTGTTTGCCAGCTAAACAATGGATACACCTTTTCAACTTTGCTTGTTTCAATCCAGAAAGAAAACGTTTCTTAGCCAAACATGTAATCCCCCTATCGCTCATATGACTCAATCTTCTGTGCCAGAATTATGATAAAGTATCACTTTCCACCAAATTTATTGTGTCATTAAGAATAGAGACCCGTGTCACATATAAATAACCAGACGTTACTCCTCGAGCCACTACTAACGAGCCCTTGGTGAGCTTCCATTGGCCATTAAAGAGGGCATTATGGTAACCTTCATCGTCTAATCTTCCTGCGGAGATCAAATTGAAAGGAAAGTCTGGAGCATGCTAGACATCTTGAAGAACTAACGTTGAACCATTATTAGTTTTCAAACAAACTGTGCCAACACCAAATACCTTAACTTTACTGGCATTGCCCATCTTTAACACTCCAGAATCAACAGGAGTATAAGATGAGAAAATATCTTTTATTGGCGTGACGTGTGAGGTAGCTCCAGAATCTACTATCCAGCTAGTCTCATGGGATACCAACTTGATGACGTTTTCATCATAAGCAAAAAGAAGGTCATCTCGAATAATAGCAGCAATATTGTTCTCGTTATTTTCAGCTTTCTTTCCTTCTCTAGTGTCTTGATTCAACTTGCGGCAAAATCTTTTGATGTGTCCTTTCTTGCCACAGTGGTTGCATGTAATATTATAGTATTTGGACCTTGACTTACTTTTACTTTTACCTCTATTCCTTGAGCCTCTTATTCTATCTCTCCCCCGGTCTTCTGTAACCAAGATATCTACTTGTAAGGACGAATCCTGAGATTTTCTCCTTACTTCCTTGTTCAATACACCACTCTTGGAATATTCCACGGTCACCTTACCTGCAGGAGCTGAATTTGTCAAAGAAACACGAAGAGTTTCCCAAGAGTCAGGCAGAGTATTAAGAAGCCAAAGTCCTTGTATATTATCATCAAAATTAACTCCCATTCCAGACAGCTGATCAAGGACGTCCTGAAAATCATTTATGTGATCAAGGATAGGGTTGCCTTCCTTGTATTTAAAGGTCATCAATTGCTTTAGCAGGAATAACTTGTTGTCTCAGTTTTTGAAGCATAAAGAGCCTCTAGCTTTTCCCACAATGATCTTGCATGTGTCTCGTTCACAATATGGTTGCGAACATTATCTTCAACCCATTGGCGTATATATCCACATACTTTTTGGTGCTCGAAATCCCAATCTTCATCAGATAAACTCTCGGGTTTAAGAGCTGCAAAAACGGGTAGATGCATCTTCTTAACGAACAACAAATCTTTGATCTTGCTTCTCCAAACATTATAATTTCTCCCATTTAAACATACCATCTTGCTCATATTCGCCTCCATTCCGTAACAACCCGGATAAATAACCAAGGCTCTGATACTACTGTTATAGCGAGGAAGAGGCAAACCCGAAAATAAAGAAGATAAAGAACACCAAATTTTAACGTGGAAAACCGTTCAAATCGAAGGTAAAAACCACGGGATCACAAAGATCCAAAAAGTTTCACTATAATAATAAGAGAGTTACAAAATTTCTCCAAATTGGCTACACAACAAGTGCCAAACACGGAGCAACAATAGCAAAAAGAGCAACGACAAATCAATTGAAGAAAGAGGAGAATCCACAAAAACAAAGCTGCTGTTCGAGGCTCGAAATCAGATGCTACGAGCCTCTAAATCAGATCTTCACCGTTTAAATCAAAGACCAAGATGTTACGAACAATTAGTCAAAAATTTCAACCCGATCCAACAATTAATGAATAAGAAAATACGATTTGAAGTTGGCTGGTCGGAATAAATATCTGCAGCAACACAAATACTTTTCTTTTCTCTTCTCTCTTGATGAAAGCTCTCTCAAAAATCACTCTTATGTGCTTAAGTCTTTCAAAGACTTGTATCAGTGAGTATAGAACAATTCTCCAAGATTGTCCTATTTATAGATCGTGAGTGGTGATTTCTCTTAAAGCCAAAATCCACTCAAAATATGAATAAACACCGAATCCAATTTCGAATAGAATTGGAAACCAAAAGAGAATACGATTAGGCCATTGGGCCTTTGGTTGGACAACATGGGCATGTGCCCAACAGTTTTGACTTTTCAAGCTCCTTAAGAAAAAATAAATGAAATGCATAATTTACCATGATACCCATATTAATTGATGCATATTTTATTGAATTTGAGAAAATAATTTGAAATGAGTAAAAAATATTGTGGGTATAATAGGAAAAAAAATTCGCCTTCTCTTGATATGCGTAAAGTGACAAGTAAAAGTGAAAATTTATTTTTAGTATTCATTCCAAGTAAAAGTTAATGGAGGGAGTAAATAGGAGACAAGAAATAAATAAGCTATTATATGTGGTAGGGTCTCATTGAGTATTACTACTGGGCCGGAAGCATATGCTCTCCTCCCTAGATCATATATATAATATTGGGTGCATCAGTGTAAGTGAGATTGTGAGTTTAAATTTTATGTCAATCTTTTTTTTTTTTCTCTCCGAAACTAGGCATCACATGGTACGTATTAATTAAGTACAATTTATTTTCTTTCTTTCTTTCTTTGGGATCCATTCTTTCAAATTTTCACATATTGAAATTTTCATTTTTTGTTTGTCACCGAAAAATCTTATATGATTAAATAAAATGTGCATATTAAACTAGTGGATAAGGCAGCATATAGCATGCTATTGAGTTCAACTGATCTCAATATTTTAAGCGCGGAGTGTGGATATAGATGTAAGAAAATTACTATTAAAAAATAATAATTTTGAACTTATAGTTCCAAAAGTGTAATGGGTGCAATAGTAAGGACCAAACGTTGAACCCGTACAATTTATATCCTGGATTCAGTACCTCTTCATAACAGTGCACCCAGCGTCAACAGTTTATATATAGGTAAAATATTAGGTTTTAGAGGCATATAACATATACTGAACACCCTTTGTCGGAATTTTTCTTTTTCTTCTTTCAAGTTTGAACACCCTTAGAGAAATTTCTGGTTTCGCCACCGAATGCACCAATCTTTCCAAAATCCTGGATTCGCCTTCGATTACTCCTAATAGAAAGTAAATAATAGGATTTTTTGTGAAGCTTCTTCTTAATATTCTACTCTAGTTGATTAGAATTATTATTGTTACTACTGGGTTTTCTTTGAACTTTAATAGAAGAAAGTAGAAAACCCCCTATATCAATGGACAACTAAAAGTAGAAGTGGATATATGAAGCTACAAAGAAAGCTCCAGTTGATTAGTATTTTTATTGTTATAGAGGTTTCTTTGAATTGTAATAGAAGGAAATAGGAAATTCCTCAAAAAACCACCCACCCTCACATGCGGATCTAGTGTAATGATTACGCATTAACGTGAATCTAAACTTTTGTCTAGACTCTATATTTTTATTAAAAGTTTAACTTGAAACTCAGTCCGTAGATCGGTTATTATTGTATATTAACTTGAGATTGATATAGAAACTCATAAACATAAAATCCTGCATCTGTCTCTAAACCTCCCTGCACTAAAATCCCATTGTAATATGTACACAATAGACAACTAAAAGTACAAGCTGATATATGAAGCTACAAAGAAAAGGAAGGGTAATATCCCAGTAATTTCCTTTGTCTCACCGACAATAGTTGCACTAATCCAAAGCAGTATTATGATCTTATTTTCTTTGTGCAAATAGAAAGTGACAACAAATGTAGGTCCATAAATCAGAAGGAATCTTACTTTTCTCAAATACTTGATATAAAAGAATCAACTACAATAATTAATTAAAGGCCAAATACATATCCAACACCTGAAACAAGATGCCAAGAACTCAATGTTAGTTCTATGAAAAGAGTGAGAAAATTGTATGTGAAAAAATTATGATTGTGGTAAAAGTTTATGACTAAGTATCACATGGTATTGCCTTCTAACTCCTTGACAAGCACTTAGAATTTTGGGCCATATTTGTGGAATAACATGAGGTTTCTCGTAATCCCATTAACCTAAACGATTCCTACAGAGTCCCTCCTCTAAAACTAAGCTTTAATGCATCTGTTTTTATAGCACAACTAGCCAAAATGACAATTCAAAGGTCCCCTATTTACATGACCAAGAAGGGAGAAGCACATGGTTTTGCTTCTAACCTGCAATTGCTCATCTAATGGGTGAGAAGTAACCAAGTATGAGCTGATATATCAATACTAATAGGCCCCGGTTGTCGATCAAAGTACAGAAACGAAGAAACTTTGCTTCATCTACAAATTTAAGGCCCCATATCAACAGGCATCAGCACATGGCTTTGCCTTTTGTTGTTAGTAGCAACTTCAGCTCCAACTCAAAGCCTGTCTACAACCTCTTGTATAAATAACCCCCTTTTCTATGGACATTTTTCATCATCAAGTAAAAGCAATATCTATTCAGCCATCAAAAGTTTCTAAATTGCTTGTTTACTTTCTTGCTTCCTAACTTTCAAGAAAACGAAAAATGGAAAGAAAGACAATTCTCAGTACTAAGAAGCTAATCAAAATGGCAAGGAAATGGCAAAAGTTCGCGATCAAGCAGAGGAAGAGGATTTCATTTCCAAGAAATGGTAGTGATGCAGACAGTTGTAGTACATCTTCATCCTCTATTGCCGGAAAAGGCCATTTTGTAGTCTATACAATTGATCAAAGGCGCTTCGTTATTCCTTTGGCTTATCTTGAAAATGAGGTCATTATGCAACTTTTAAGCATGTCCGAAGAAGAGTTTGGACTACCAAGTGGTGGTCCTATTACATTACCCTGTGATTCGGCGTTCATGGACTACATCATGTCACTGATCAAGAAAGGTGTAACTGCTGGAGATCTTCACAAAGCATTGCTCCTCTCAATTCCTTCATGTTGCTGTTCAACTTCTTCCTTTCACCAAGGAAGTGGAAATCAACAGATTCTTGTTTATTGAGTCATGACATCATGTTTTGTAAATAATAGCTTAAAATAGACTTCATAGCTGTAGAAAAATAGGCAACTGAAAGCTTGTATCATTGCAGACTGGAATAAAGCTTTATCTTGAAATTAACTCACTTTGCAATTTGACAATTGAGAAGCTTTAACATTCTCATGTTGGAGTAGCACTATTATTTTATTGCAGGCAATCAACTTTGTCCATTGAAACTTACATTTACAGACATATGATCACACCAATGCAAGGGATTATCTACCCCACCTCCTGTATGGGATAACTAATACCACCATTTTGGTATAAAATTTATACCAGTATTAGATAATACCCACAACCAAACATGGGATTAATATTCTTATCCCGGTAACCAAACGACCATGGAGTGTTCCTCTTGCGGACATTCTTTCCGGTTAAATTTCATACCGGATCAATCCATATTGAAAAGGAAGCTGCAAATTACAGCAACCATTTTAGAGTGTAATGATAAAGCCCAGTGATTCCTCCTATAGGACACTATCCGGGCCACCACTTCAGTTCTTATTTCTAGTAACAGGTCATTCATGATTCATATCCAAATATACAAATGGATCCTACAAGTTTTCCTCAGGCAATAATACCAGAGCCCAGGTCTTAAGAGATGGTGACATGGTCACAAATATATCAAGATATTTACATGTGTATTTTCTATTAGCTTAAAGCATCAAATTCTGCACTTCCCCTAGCCTCCAGTATTCAAGTCAAGAAACTAAGCTGAACATGCCCTTTTCTCACACTGCACTCACAATCATGTGATTTAATACGTCGTTTTCGCTACCACTAGACAAGATGTGGAGTTCATCTGCTCAGAAGCATGTTCAGTTTTATTATATATCTGGAGAATGTAAATTTAAGAATATTATGACACAACCACACAAAGTAGGTCGGAGAGCTGTAAATAGTGATAGTAGTACTTAATTGCTGGTGTCAATAGAGCCAGCAGCATAATTGTGCAAAATGTCAACACATCCATCTAATGAATTAGGAAACATGAACATATAAAAGTATTGAGTCTTCTAATCAAGTGACTTGAAAAAATTTGCTTCTATAAAAATTGGCAGGAGGTTAGTCATTTTAACTAACTTTACAAGCAGAAAATCCTTGTTTTCTACTACTAGTATAAAAAAGATTAAGAAAAAAATAAGGAATTTGTTTCCCTCATTGTCAAGTCCCACTTAAATGGAAGTGACATCTCTACTATCTCTCATTTCTAAAACTATTGCTTTACAAAATTCCATGAGCAGAAGAATAATCTGCACCATGGTTCTACTCATAATCTCCTCAAGCGGGAGGTGAGATCAATGAACACATCCTCTTTGCAAGGTATTGTGAGACCGCCCATTGAATGATCAAATCCAAACTCTTCCTCAGCTTGAGATAACAAGTCTTGAAATAAAGGCTGACTCAAGTATGATATTGGCACGACAAATCTCTTCTTCTGGCTCTCTCCTACATATACTGCACAATGTCCTTTCGGAACACCTCCAGTTGTTGAAGACCTCCTTAGTGTAAACAATTAAAGAAAATAAAGGACAAGAACTTTGAGAATTGCACAGAAAATGGAAGTTTTTTGAATGTGAAAATACTTGTGTTTTATTCAAATGCTTTGGGTCTGATTATATACAAGTTTATGACAAGTTTCATATCCAAAAGTTTAGTGGTTAAGAGAAATTGGTGGCTACTGGTGAGAGACAATGGCACATGAAGTTTCACATGGTTTTGCCTACTCTCTTATTGTCAAATGTTTCAGACCATAAAAATTTTGTTGAAGAACAACACTAGGCCCTACTGTTTCTTACTTGGAGCAGAAAAAGACACCCTTAAAATAACATCCACAAGAATGGATAAATTTGATGATTTAGTCCAGGACCACCTGGTTTAGAGGTGAGGTGACAAAGAATGCCAAATAAGAATAAGCAACAGAAATACCACAAGAGAAAGAAAGATAACATGACATGAAATATCACATGCCATTGCCTTCTAACTCTTTGACAAGCACTTAGAAAAAAATGCCATATTTGTGGAATAACAACAAAATTCTCATAATCCAATTATATGCTTCATATTCTTGAATTACATCATATCACTCATCAGAAGAGGTGTAACTGTAGATCTTCAGAATGCTTTGCTTGTATCAGTCGCTTCCACTCGATGCTCATCAGCTTCATACCTTCAAGAACCAAGTCACCGGCAATTCCTAGTTTGTTGAGCTAACTTCAACTAGTTTTGTAAATGGATACATGATACTCAACAAGTGTACAGAATGTTAACATCTAATTGTTCATGAAAAGTCCTTAAATTTATCCAAACTGTTTTATTCTTTATAAATTGGGAAAATCTGATTGCATATTCGTTGCTCTCTATTAGTCTTGCACCTAGAATATATAGCTTGTGACTTTCACGATCACCGGGTAAGTTGATAAGCTCAATTCAAAGAACGTAATGTCAAAAGCTTCATTAAATCATTCTTTCCAGTAAGAAGAAGTAAAAAAAAAAAAAAAAAAAAGACTTAATAGTACAAGTATACACCAGGGGCTTCCGCAAAAGACTGATTTCAACCAAGATGATTAGTTTCCATGTTAATGTTGTCTTCTAAGTAAATTGTAAACAGTTTATAAACAATTACATGAACAATAGCAGTAGGTATTAAATCCCAAGAAAAATTAGCAAATTTTGGACAGTGGAAAGGGCAGTTGATCCTTTCCTTTTGCACATAGGAAGACTTGATATCATAACTAATAAGTCAAAAGAAGATTAGAGAAGGTAGGAAGAAGTCTAATATTCGATGTGAAAGTCCCCTACCTACATGACAAGGCAGCCAGGTAGCACATGGTTCAGCAAACTTAATCTACAACGATAACAACTACGCCTCAGTCTCAAACAAGGGGTCGGCAATATGAATCCTCATTCTTTTCATTAAGCTTAACTCATATCATCATCGTTACCGAAAAACATAAAAGTGCAAGTAAATTGGCAAGCTTTACGCAAGCTGCTAACCTAACGCAACCTTCCTCCTTTATCCGAACTTGGGACTTGCAATGTAAGCAAGCTCACACTGGCAGAGTTGTTAAGCAAACTTAATCTATCACCGAGAGAACTAGTCTTCATTCAAAGGTCTCAAACTCTTCAAATTGGCGAGAAGCGGATGAAACAATGAATTGCAAAAGTTCTTATTTTTCAAGTCAAAATGAAAACGTTTGATAGTAAAAGAATTTCCTGGCATCTCTTTGACCAAAAATTCCTTCTCTTGGATAAAGCTTCTTCATTCATCTTCGGTACTAACAAGCCTTCCCTTTACTAAGCTTGGAGTGCTAACAAATATCTCTAGCTCCTCAACTTACAAGCTATAATTCCTGCTTTACTAGTGTACCGATTTTTAAGGGAAAATTGGGATTTGATTCCCTCTCCATTCCTTCTCAACCAACAAGTGAGATCAGTGGAATCCTCTTTGCAGAGGATTTGTGTTTTGTGAGACGACCATAATGATCAAAACCAAACTGTTCCTCAGCTTCTAACGAGCTTTGTCAACTCCTAGGCCGCTTTAATTGATTTTTTTTATTATTATTATTCGCTTTATAATATTAATTAACAATAAAATTAATCATATTAACCATAATTTGTTCATTAAAAGTATAACAAATGCTTATAGGCTCTTTGCTACAAGGACAACTTTGAAAAAAGAAATTAATTCCTTCTTGAAATTTAAACAAATCAAATATTATGAACCACAAAAAATCAAATAAAATGGACTAGAGAGAGTATTAATTGTCAAACAACTAAGCGCGTACAATAGAGAACTCTCTCCAGTTATGTTCTTAGATGATGTTGCTCGTTATTTTTTATGATTCATGAGAAAACTCTGAAGCTTGCTTGCCTTGAAATTCTAAAATAAATCTAGGCTACAATTTCAAAAGGCTAAAAAAAGAAGTCATAATGCTAATTTCCATCAAACAGTCATGACTGTCAGAACCGTCTTCACCATACAAGGTTTCAAGATCTATGCATTCCAATTGAGATGAAGACGTGATATCGACACCTGCTGCACTAGGAATAGGCGGAGCTGTAGTAGAAGCAGGCGGTGGAGCTGCAGTAGAAGCAGGCGGTCTCGTACTCGTCTGACGAATTTTGTTCTTCCTCGGTTTTTTCAACTCAATCAACTCTTCGTTCAGTGCATTCAACTTTCTCGTCAACTCTTCATTCTAGTCAACTCTTCATTCTGTTTTTTGATAACAAATAACTAAATCATTGTTGATAACAATAAACAAAGAAAATAGCAACCTTCACAAAATCAGGAACCCAGTAGGTTTGTTTATTTTCTCTAGCAATTGATCCTTAATATTTTCCACCATAATAAACCCTCCCACAAAACATACATTAATACAGAGGTCAGTAGACATTATAGGTCATCAAAAAGAGAAAATAAATATTATAAGAGGTAAAATTCATGAATTTTCAATGTTCATGAAACTAGAAAAACAAGCCAGCAAATCAATCAAGAGGAAAGAAGAATCAAAATAATTGATACATACACAAAACTGACAACGGAGCTTAATAATCTATAGATGGGGGAAACATGCTTTAGGTGCTTGAACCACTGGTGATCTTTCTAGACTTTTTTTCCTTATATATGGTAAATACCTCGGGGCCAAACAATGGCTTCTAATTTAATAGATAGTACAACTTACCTGGAAAGATCTTTAATGCATTGCAATGGACCAAAAATTGAAAAATTTTCGAAGTAAGCCTGAACCGTTAACTTAGAGTCTATAAACTCTATCCATTGTGATTTGTCAATATTCTCAAGTCCGGCCCAAGGACCCTCAACTGATCTGTCACATATACGGCCAAGTTTAAAGAGCAATTCATCCGTTGGGAAGATATTCAGCATCTCGCAATCAGGTAGGCACTCTTGATTAAGAAGTAATGAAAACCCTAGATTTCTTCCTCAAGGGATCCATTGGCAAAACCCTAGATTGCAAAACAATCGAAACTAATGAAAATTAGGCAGAGTATTAGAACACGGGAGCCGTACCCATAGCCATAAGGTGAAGAAGAAGGGGTCCTTTTTTGGTTCTGAGGGTTGAAGATTCAATAGAATCAGGTATTTTGTTCTCTAATGGTGAAGAAGAAGAACGGCGGGGACTTGGAGCTTAGGGCTTCTCTTCTTCTCTCGCTACTGCTACCATTACTTATACAAAAAAAAAATAGTGTTGCTATTTTTTCATACTTGTTATTTATAGTATAACATGCTTAAATGATGAAACATTTAACTTCACTATTATCATTTATATTAGTAAGAGGTAACTTAAATAAATTGGATGTAAGACATGTATTTTCAACATGTTACCTTTGATTTTGTTGTAGAAAATATATTTACTAATATGAAATCTAAGTAATTTAATTCAAAGTTCTAAAATATTTTTAGTGTTAAAGAGTATATAGTCTTCCTTTCTTTCTTTCTTTCTTTTGTCCAAGGTTTATTGTAATTTTTTTTTTCAAACTTTAATATTGTCTAACTTAAAATAAAATCATAAAATCCATTATTAAAAATTTTTGGGGACCTAAATTAAAGCTTTACTAGTCTCCTAATCGAGCCACATGTCCCATCCCCCTGCTATTCTCAATCAAATTTTATTCAAGTCTCAATTAAGATAAGACAATAATCAGTGAATGTGTTATTTAGTTATCAAATGTGAATGGAACTGTTGAATAACACGTTAATGGGCAGTGGTCTATAAATAATTGTTGATCATTAATGAGGGCGGCTCAAAGGAACTGGTGGCTTAAAACTAAAATATATTAAAAGACCCTGAAATTCTTTCATAATATCCATATAATATTGAGACAAAAAAAGTGGTGAGAGAACAACGTATAATATGTGGGTTAGACGTAAGTCATATGGTATTGAACTCCCTCTAAAAAAATATAACATTAAATAAAAATGGTAAAAGGATTGAGCCTAGTATCGATCGTGTTTTGAACCTTACGATAATTGTCTCTGGGATTTCTTAATTAAAAAAAATGAGACACAAAAGAACTTGATTACTGATATGAGGATCTATCAAATGTGACAAAAAGGAATAGCTAATTTAGAGAATTTGATTTTAAATTAGAAAGTAAAATAGTAAACAATATGAAAAAAAAAAGAAGAAAGAAAAATAGAATTTATTTAATTTAGTGAGAGAAAAGTTTTATCCTATTAACTCATTCAATCCTACATCTACCAAATTTAAATAAATATTAGAATTTAAAATATTTTATCAATAATTTTATAAATATAAATTACATAAATTATATAATGATATAATAGTACTTTATATTTTTGGGGCCTTAAATATTTGGGGGCCTAAGGCAAGAGCTTCACTTGCCTTACCCTAGAGCCGCCCTTGGTTTTTCAAGGATGGGGTCTGATTCGAGTGAGATGAGAAGAAGAAGGAGTCGTGGAAAATTTTTAGGGTTTTGGAAAATGGGAGGTTTTAAAGAGGGGGGGGGGGACCCGTTTGG